TATTTCTTGGCTGTTGAATGGGAAAAATATTTCCAGAGCTGAAAAAAAAAAAAAACTCTTCCTTTTTTTCTATTAATTTGATGTCTTCACTTTGTTTACTTTGGAATGGAGAAACCCAAAGACTATGACTCATCCTTTCTAAAACATATAATTCCTAGAATGAGTCATGGTCTATTTTTAGAAACAGGGAGACAACATTCCCACACAAAAGGGGGGTAGGGTTAATTTTTTATCATGTCTAGAAGACATGATAAAAATTAACAAAAAAAGTTTTTTTTTTTTTTTTTTTTTTTTTTTTCTGAGCTCTGAAAATTTTTTTCCCAGTCGGCAACCAAGTGAAAAATTTCCAATCGGCTTTTACTTTCACTTTCAACTCTTTTCTATAAAAGCATTCCACGTTTTCTGTTCAGAACCGTGCGGGCTCTCCATGGTGCAGCATGCTTTTTCTCTCTCTACCTCATCTGCAGCTCTATGACAGCTAACAGGCTTGAGTTTTAAAAATGTATGGAAGAAGTTATTTTTAATCCATTTCAGCGATTGAGTGGGCTGGGAAAAAAAGGCCCTTTCTATGGCAGCTAACACGCTTGAGCTTTAAAAATGTATAAAAGAAGTTATTTTTAATCCATTTCAGCGATTGAGTGGGCTGGGGAAAAAAAGGCCCTTTCCATGACAGCTAACACGCTTGAGCTTTAAAAATGTATGAAAGAATTTGTTTTTAATCCATTTCAGCGATTGAGTCTACTGGGAAATATTTTCTCAGAACTCAGGGAAAAAAAGGCTCTTTCCCTGACAGCTAACACTCTTGAGCTTTAAAAATGTATGAAAGAATTTATTTTTAATCCATTTCAGCGATTGAGTCTGCTGGGAAACATTTTCTTAGAGCTCAGGTAAAAAAAGGCTCTTTCCATGACAGCTAACACTCTTGAGGTTTAAAAATGTATGAAAGAATTTATTTTTAATCCATTTCAGCGATTGAGTCTACTGGGAAACATTTTCTTAGAGCTCAGGGAAAAAAAGGCTCTTTCCATGACAGCTAACACTCTTGAGGTTTAAAAAATGTATGAAAGAATTTATTTTTAATCCATTTCAGCGATTGAGTCTGCTGGGAAACATTTTCTTAGAGCTCAGGGAAAAAAAAAGGCTCTTTCCATGACAGCTAACACTCTTGAGCTTTAAAAATGTATGAAAGAATTTATTTTTAATCCATTTCAGCGATTGAGTCTACTGGGAAACATTTTCTTAGAGCTCAGGGAAAAAAAGGCTCTTTCCATGACAGCTAACACTCTTGAGCTTTAAAAATATAGGAACAAATTTATTTTTAATCCATTTCAGCGATTGAGTCTGCTGGGAAACATTTTCTTAGAGCTCAGGGAAAAAAAAGGTTCTTTCCATGACACCTAACACTCTTGAGCTTTAAAAATGTATGAAAGAATTTTTTTAATCCATTTCAGGGATTGAGTCTACTGGGAAACATTTTCTTAGAGCTCAGGGAATGTGTCTCCAGGTTGAATGCACAGCACACACGGATGGGAAGTCGAAACTCGAGTGGCTTAAAAAATAAATATACGAAAGTTGGGTTATCGAGCTGACTAGGAAAAATTCTCAGAGTTCTGGAAATAATTCTGAGTTCAAGCATGGGACATGAGAACCGAAATGTATTACAATCATCATGTCATCATTGTTTTCGAAAGCCAAAAGAACATCTCATGAAAGAACATCTTTTTTTCCTGGTTGTGGGATGGAGTAGAGTTGCTGCATCTTGAACAACCCACACTGATCTGAACAGAAACATGAAATGTTCTTATAGATATAAGAAATGAATTGAAAGTGAAAGTAAAAATGAAATTGTATTGGCTGGAAATATTTCTTGGCTGTTGAATTGGGAAAAATATTTCCAGAGCTATAAAAAAAAAAAAAAAAAAAAAAACCTCTTCCTTTTTTTTTCTATTAATTTGATGTCTTCACTTTGTTTACTTTGGAATGGAGAAACCCAAAGACTTTTAAAACATATCCTTTTAAAAACTTATCTTATCTTATAAACTTTAAACTCATCCTTTTTAAAACATATAATTCCTAGAATGAGTCATGGTCTATTTTTAGAAACAGTGAGACAACATTCCCACACAAAAGGGGGGTAGGGTTAATTTTTATCATGTCTAGAAGACATGATAAAAATTAACAAAAAGTTTTTTTTTTTTTTTTTTTTACATCTCAGAATTTTTTTTTCTGAGCTCTGAAAATTTTTTCCCAGTCGGCAACCAAGTGAAAAATTTCCAATCGGCTTTTACTTTCACTTTCAACTCTTTTCTATAAAAGCATTCCACGTTTTCTGTTCAGAACCGTGCGGGCTCTCCATAGTGCAACATGCTTTTTCTCTCTCTCTACCTCATCTGCATCTAGGATGTTTTTCCTTCTTCAAGAAGTGGAATTCTTTGGGAATACCTTACAATTTCACGAGCTAGCTGTTTCTTATATTTCGAGGAGATTTCAATGAAATTGTTTATAGATGTCACCTATTGCAGATGGGGAAAAAGTCTATACTGGATCGCTGGAGACATCTCATCCAGATAGGTCACGTTATATTTTTTCCCACACCTAAATAAATTGGACATGAGCCATCCTTTTGTTTTCTCATCCAACAAAGATAGACACTGCAGACCGTTTTGGGTTTTCACTCTTCGCGAACCGAGACGAGCCGCAGCGACACTTTGCGTTTTCTCTGAGCGCAATAATGGATCACGTGAGCAACCATTTTGTTTCCCATCTCACCCAGATAGGTCATGTTGTATTTTGTTTCATACACCTAGCCAATTTTGGACATGAGCCATCCTTTTGTTTTTTTTTTCTATCGAACCAAGATAGACTCTGGAGACAATTTTGTTTCTCAACGGAAAAGTAAATTTTCTGAATGGGTACCGGTGTTCGAATACTTTTGTGACCGACTGTACTCTCCATTTCAAATAAAAATTCTTTGAATTGGCGATGGTTAAGAGCTTTAGCTAAAATGGAGTTGATAATGGTAATCACTAATTCCAAAACTTTACAAATTTCTTCCGGAAATGTTTGTGCACAAAGCGCATCTTGGTGAATGACACAATGGTAAACAAGTATCTCGTGATTAATTTTTTCTTTCAAAATAGCAACAACCCCTTTTCTTACGCCGGTCATACTTTTAGCCCCATCTGTTGAAATCGACACAATTTTATTGAGGGGAATATGGTGTTTATCCATACACTCAGTTACAGCATTGGCGATATCTTCTCCACGCGTCTGACCTTTGAATGACAATAATCTTAAAAGTTCTTCTTTAGGGCCTGAATGAGACAAAATCTTACAAAAAGTGAAACTTGCGCTGTATCATTTATGTCACAAGACTCGTCAACTGCTATTGATAAAGCCGAAACCAATTTCAGATCTTCGATATGCTGGGTGGTTATATTGGAACACATTTTAATTGTTCTCTCTTTAATGGTTTTGGTAGACAATGGTAACTCTTCAATTCTTTTCAGAATATCTGCTTTGTTCTTAAAATCCCGAAATAGCTCTTCAGATGCATTTATAAAACAATTTTTTATGTATTCGCCGTCTGTGTAAGGTTTTCCTCTCTTAGCAATCTCTTGGCTACAAACAAAACTTGCCATATTAATACTGCTGGAAGAGTGCATCCAGTTATTAAACACAGAAGTTGACTACTCTTGATTCCTCTGCAGTTCCTCAACTGCTTTCTTCCTTGCATCACCGGTAGGATATTTAGTACTAAATGACACGTGCTTTCTTGTAAAGTGTCGCTCTAAATTTGTCTTCTTGTTATGCGCGAATTTCTCCTTACAAATAAGACATGTCGAAAGTCCATTCAAGTTTTGAATAAACGCAAAATTCTCGGTCCACTCAACTGTTGGCGGTTTTCATCTTCCGTTTTTCTTTCCTTTTTTTTTGGTAGCCATGTTAATTGGGGCAACCCTTAGAAGTGGTATGTATTTTAGAATTAGGAATTGTCCTTGATTGTTGGCGGAAACATGTCCTTCACGTGGCTCAGATCGATTTTCATTAATATCCTAGTATCTGGTGAGTTTCTCCTTCATATTAGTGAGATTTTTCGGATATAATCGAAAGTTGACAGCATGTGACACCACTGTTACAACAGGTGAGTTTATTAAAAAAATTTGCTTCACGTTCCGAACTCTTATGAGGCAGAGCACATTAAATTAATACACCTCCAGGTGATAGCAACATAACCTCAACAAGCGAAAATCGTCCTCAAAAGCATCGCCAAACACCGCTGATACATTCTTCATAATTTTTGTCAAAGATCTTTATGAGGTATGTTTACATATCCATTAATATGATATAAAATGCTTATAAATATTACCTACCCATAATAAAATGATTAATGCTGAGAGTAGATGAATTTTTCGCAGTCCTGTTTGTCTCTGCGAACGCAACTTCCCACAGGCGCCTACGGTGTGGTGTGGTGTATTGAGAATACAGCAAAGCACACTAGGGCTATCTGCCTAAGGGGAGAATGCCTTCGTGGAGGACGTTTTAAGGGAAACTGGCTCGTATACACGTTACACATGGGTAAAACCACGAAAACGCCCATGCAGACACCCCATTCGCGGGATTCGAACCTCGGACCGAACTACTAGTGTTCAGCGATTTTACCGCTCGGCCGCTGGTGGGCCCTCAGGCGCCTACATGATGGATTTCTAGGAAAATAGAACATTTTTATTTTAGATAATAAATTAGTTTTAGCTTTCATGCTAGAGCCCACAGCCACACAACACTGACTCGATTTCCTGTTATGCATAGTTCTGTATTTATCAGAATAAAACAAAAAATGAAACAATTCAAAAATAAATTCACAACAGCAATGTAAACAAACAAAGCAATACCGGAAACGGAATCTTCCGGGGTGTTCGCGATCGTTGAGCCTTAAAGAAAACTCTGATTTTTGATATGTTGCTTTATGAAATGAAGTGAAAAGATACAAACTATTTGTTTTTATTGTCTGTTCTGTGCGCAAATTTGTTCTGGATTGTGTGCGGAATGGAAAAACCGCGATTTTTACCTGGAGATTCTGTATTAATTGAAAATATTGTTAATTATCTTAAGGCTAAGGGAATATTTGATGAATTTCGCCACGAATGTCTTGCCGATGTAGATACAAAGGTAACATAATTTGTATAAAATTCGTTCAAGGTATATTCGTTCGTGTATTGCTGAAATATTTATTTTAGTTATAAATGCAGTGTCGCTTGCTGTTAAATAGACTTCTTAAGATTTAACTGTGAGTTGAACAAAATTTTGTTAGCATATAGGAGCAAACCGCTGTGGAAAAACGTTTTTCATCAGCTGAAGTAAAAACCAATGTAAAAATCACTCCTGGCATTTTTTTATAATGACATAATGTGTATTTTTATGTGGGAAAGAATGTCGAAGAAAGTTTCTTCTGTTGTGCTTAGCCTTTCCATATTCAGGTTACTCCAGGTTATCTTTTTTTTTTTTTTTTTTTTTTAATAGTTTAATGAAAGTGTGAAGTCAAGCAGCAATTTTATGCCAACCAATATATGCACTTCCATGTTGGGAAAAAAATGTGGATTACATACCCGTTTTACATTTCTTAATTTGATTTGATCTACCTTGCAGAGAGTTACCAAGCTATATTGTAAGGTATCGTATAATCAATGCTATCCTGGAGAAACCAGATTTTTTAACTACAGTTAAGAGTTTACTTTTTGTGTGATAGAAACACTGCATGTTGAAATAAATTACTTTAATTTTTATCCCTAAAAAATTCATACTTTTAAAAATAATATATTTTGTAGAATATAGAAGACATTGTGAAAATGTATGGAAGAGGAACTAAACTTGAGAGGACTATGCTGTTTGTGATTTCTTCTTTCATTTTATATATTTATGCAATTGTCAGTATCAAGAAGAGTACCTCAGTATCATTTGAAATGTATACCTTATTTTAGTATTTCATCTGCATGTGATTTGCTATTATACCATCTGTTTCAGTAAAGTGACATGACTAAACATGCCATTATGATTAATATTTTGAATTCTAATATTCTTAATGATGTGAAATGTTAGACATTTCAATGATCTTTCCATTTTGCAGTCTCTCTAACCATATATTTGATAATAGGAGTATATATTTTAATTCAGAAAAAGGAAAGGTAATAATGATCAACATTCAGTACTGGATTTAGATTTGATAAGATCTTAAGCTATTTGAGATATGGGACCCTTTACGAGGATATGAGGAATTTTTTTTTCTTAATATGGGATACAGTACAATTTTTGCAGATGGCATCCAAGAAAGTGAGGTCCCTAAGCTATAGCTTGTGCAGCTTATCTGTAAATCCGGCACTGTAAACATTCTATTCATATTCAATTGCAGAAGAAAAGTATAATCTGGAAGTGATGTCATAAATTGTGAAGGTATTATAAATTAACTTTTATATTCATCAACAAAAGTATATATAAAGGGAAACCTTTCAATATGAAGTGGAACAGGGTGATCAACTGGGAAACCTAATTAGAGTTTTTTTCCTATGGTGAGTAAGGAATCATTTATTAGCTTCAGCAGAATTTTTGAATAATTTATCAGCTATTCAATTTAGAACAATATATATGAAAAAATGATGGTAAAAGTATATTTTATAGTACCCCTTGGTGGTACATGGATACTGAGTTTGTGCAATTCTTTGGCTTATTATTTTGCTTGCATAATGGCAAATTTTGCGCCAGAAATCGTCGCTACACAAAGCCAAAATAACTAAAAAAAAAAAGAATTGCACAAACTCGGTATCCATGTATGTACACAATCAACCTATTTTCACTTTAAAAAAAAAAAAAAATCCCTAAATTGAACAAAAATGGCCTTACGCACTCTCTTGATTTTATCCATGTACACGTCAACCTATTTTCACTTAAAGAATCGAAGAATTGCACAAACTTGCATGGCGCACTCCCTTCACTTTCTCCATGTACACATTGATATATTTTCACTTAAAAAGTCAAAGTAACACCCAATTCTACAATACAGGCAAACAAAAAATACATAATCTCAATGAACTAACATAAAAAAGAAAAACATGTTATACATTTAAGCACTACAAAAAGCAAATATCCACTTAACCTATTTTGAAGTTCCTTCGTCTTTAGTCTGTGGAACACAAAATTCCTTAACAGCACCCGAAAACTTCCTAAAATTATCCGAACTCGAATCCGTATATCGATGTCGCCACATCTGATACTTCTTCCTACAAACCCATTCAGATCCATCTAAACGGTTTTTACGTTCGTCTAGATGCATATCCTTCCTACATACAGGACACTTATAATGGCTACTAAGTAAACCTTCAGGTTGATCTTTGGATTATGGTAACTTGGCGATTTCTTGGCGAAAATTTGGCGACCAACTCTGCTACAGCAACCCTCTATTTTTTTTTTCCGCCCCCAGTCTTCAACGAAGTAAAGACATGTTTCTTTTCTTTTTATTTACTGAACACTTTTTCCAACAATCTACTAGCCAAATTACACTTATACTAGATATTTTATCTAACAAAACTGCTTAATCATGACAAATATTCACTGCAAAATTGGGAAAAAGTGCACAATCGCAAACTCCTTGCGCGTTTTTCACGATAACACATACAAATAAACCATGTACACGTCGACTTATTTTTACTTAAAAAAACATCCCAGAATTGCACAAAAATGGCATTGCACACACTCTTTACTATATCCACGTACACTGCTTTTTTCTCATAAATTAGAAAAATTTATAAATGCATGACAAATGAAAATGCATGACAATTTTCTGAATCTTTAAACCCGATAAAAAGAACATATATATGAAATTACCTTATCGCATAAAAGTATATACCCTCACTTTGGTTGATCTTTACAATATGGTAACTGTTAGTTTGGCGACATTTTGGAGGCGATAAAGGTTACTACCTGGGACTTTGGTAATAATGTGAGCAGTACTCAGTGCCGATTACGCATTATTCTGTGTGAGGGAAATGAGAGATCATGGGATATGTCATGTGATATTAATGGACGAATTACGGTTCTTTAATTGGAAAAGGGGGGAAATCGGGAAAAAATCTGGAAATTTTGTATTTGGCTTTATTCTGTGTTGTGTGAAACAGTGTTGGTTAATTTTTGGATCCGATGGCCGTAACTAAAGTGAATTCGAAATGGGTATTTAGTGATATTGAAAAGGGTAGTAATAAATGTTTGTTTAAGGTTGTGCGAGATAGAAATAAAGATGTTAAGTTATTTATTTTACCTGGTACCTTGCTGTGAAATATAAGTATGATTTTAAAGATCCTGAAACAGAAAGATGAAAAGTTTATCGGACACGTAATCAAGATTCTGAAGAAGATTAGGTAAGTTAGTATTTTTAATTATTTGAGGATATTATTTTTATGCATTGTTCTAAATGTAAGGTGGAAAGGAATTTGGTATTATTGGGAAAATTGTTATTAGCAATGATTTAGTTTAAAGTAATTAGGAATGTAAGGTAATTTTTATTAATTTAATGTATGTGCTCATTTATATTTTAAGTAGTGTTTTTGAATTTAATTATATTTTAATGAAATTATAGTTATTTTGTGAATTTTATGTTTGTAGGAATTTGGTATACGTTTTAGTTGAAGTAAACGTGCATGGAAATAATTTAAATATCTGACACTAAGTATTTGTAATGGTTCCGGTATGAATTCGTTGGTGACGTTTATAATATAATAGATGATTTAGGGGTAAAAGTTTTTGGATATTTTATTTATTTTATATGTGGAAATGTTCATATTTGGAAAGGGTAAATACTTTTTCGCGATCAGGTAATTTCATATATGTTCTTTTTACCGGGTTTAAAGATTGAGAAAATTGTCGTATTTTCGTGAAATTTTTCTAATTTATGAGAAAAAAAGCAGTGTACATTGATATAGTGAAGAGTGTGCCCAATGCCATTCTTGTGCAATTCTGGGATGTTTTTTTAAGTAAAAATAAGTCGGCGTGTACATGGTTTATGTGTATGTGTATTTTGAAAAACGCGTAAGGAGTATGGTATTGTGCACTTTTTCCCAATTTTGCAGTGAATATTTGTCATGATTAAGCAGTTTTGTTAGATAAAATTTCTAGCATAAGTGTAATTCGGCTAGTAGATTGTTGGAAGAAGTGTTCAGTAGATAAAAAGAAAAGAAACATGTCTTTACTTCATGAAGACAAAATGGCGGCGGGAAAAAAAAATAGAGGGTTGCTGTAGGAGAGTTGGTCGCCAAATTTTCGCCAAAAAAAACGCCAAGTTACCATAATGTAAAGATCAACCCTTTTCTCTAACACATTTGAATAATATCATCTCGTTAAAATACTTCTACTTATTTTCAGGGGTTTACTATTCATATATAAATCTATCACCTATTTATTGTCTTTCAGTTGCAACAGAAATCGGGAACTGGGAATAATCTTTCTGAATTCTAGCCTTCAGATTAGTGTATAGATTTGCAAAATATTGTGGCAGTTAAACATTGGATTCTGCAAGATTATATGGTATCTCATTACTGTTGAAAGAATAATAACATTTATTTATAATCTTTCTTAGCAATATTTTGTGACAAATATTGCTTTTTGCATTTATGCAGCTTGATAAGAATCTTCCTATTTTAGTCTTCCTGCCAAAATTTGAGTCAAAGAGTTGATGGATATACAACGAAGTTTCTTGCTAATGAGACTTGGAATCCGGATTTAAACAAGAATGAACTAAGAAACAAGCTGAGACGTCATATTGATGAGTGCGTATAATTCTTTTTGTTACATATATTTCATATACATATTGTTGCAATTCAAATAAATAATGAATATTATTAATAGTGGTATATTTAGACAAAACACTTTTCTCAATTTAGAGCAAACGAGTTCATTAAGCTGATCTTTAATATCTCTAAATAAAGTAAGCAAATATGATGTACTAAATAAATAATACAAGCTAGTGGAGAAAAAATTAACAAAACTTGATTTTCTTGCATATTATATAAATAATTAAATGGAAGCAATGTTCTATTTCAGTGCATTGTATGAAAACAAAGAGTAAGAAATAATTTGAGTATCCGAGCTCCCCCGAAATTGTGAGACTAAATACATTAGATGGGTCAGTCTATGAAAAAAGTGAAAAAAAAATATTGTAGAAAATGAATGGATATGGGTCTTATAATAATTGTTTGATATCTCATTAATAAACTTTTCAAAGATTGGATACTTGAATTTCATGCAGAATATTTAGCAGGAGATGCTAGAGGACATATAACTTAATAGCTAGAGATGAAATATAATGGCTTAGTTTGAGAATGTATATTTATTGTACTTGTTGTAGTTGTTCTTGGGCTGTTAACATTTGACATGTTGAAACAAATAAATTACCGCTCTTGGTTTAAGGAATGTGTTATACAAAATCCAAACATAATGAATAGTATATGATTCATGGATAAAGTCAGCTTTACCTTTCAGATCATGTGAATTTGCGGAATATATACAAGTGAGAATCCCTTTGTCATTCAGATGGGGAAAAAGTGTATCCATATGATAAGCATATAATGTTCTGTTTCACAGAACTGGATTACCAGACTTATTTTCTTTGAATAGAGATTGTCTTAATTACTTTAAGTAATGCCAACAATTTATCAGTAGTTTCATTCAGTTTGTTAACCAACTGGATGATACTGAAATGCATTGTGTTTTTTCACAAGATGCTGCTGCAACTTGCTAATCGAATGCCAGCATGGTTGAGATTCAAACGTTCTTTGGCAGCCTACAGGTCACAAGCTGAAAATTCATAGCACTTTAAATCTTCATTCTTAACTCCATTCACTAACTTTATTAAATCTCCTTATTTAATTCCATTAATTTCTTATGTGGTTTGAAAGGTACTGTGTACACAGCAATAAGTCTACGATTATTTGGCAGTTCAAAAATATGATTGTGCAGAGAACTGAAGCAGTAAATATAAAACATGCTGAAACATATGCTTAGCAGTTTGCAGCAATAAGTTGATCTTTATCTAGATGCCAAATGTGGACATTTTATATGGTACTGATATGACTAATTTGAAAATATTTCTCTTTCCAAAATTATAGTACTAATTTAAGTAAAGACCTGATTTCTTCAATGAATAACTGTATATGATTGATTGAATGTATTATGAAAATAGCAGTTTCAAAAATTTGCCTGATGGAACATGATTTAGGGCTAAAACAGAGATTGAACATTTTTTTAAGTGTTTCCTGACAGCCATTAATGAAATTAACTGTAATATTTATTATGTAACTTAATTTATTAACTGTAACAGAAACAGTTGTTTCTATTACAGTTAATAGATTAAGTTAATAATTAAAAAAGGTTCATACTTTTTGTTTTCCATCCAGTTTGGAAATATATTCTGACACGTACTTTGTTAATCTAGCATATTTTTATTGATTCATTGTGTAAGTAAGTACCAGGTAATATTCGTAAGTCAATTACTAGAATCTGACTGAAAGTTTCCAGCTTACAATGTATTTAAATAAATATTCATATTTAAAAAAAATGTGGTGCTTGTGTATTTAATGGAATTCTTTTAAATTTTAATTGTGAATTAAAATATAGGTCTGGAATGTTAGCTGTAGGAGCTGATCATGTTGTTGAACAAGTCATAAATCCAAAGATTGGGCAGCTTTTCTTCCCTAGGATAAGAGAAGTTGTACATCAGTATTTAAATGAAGAAAATTTAAAATTAAATAAGAAGCAAGACCCTGTCAAAGAAGAACCTACCATTGCTGAAAAAAATTTTGCAGAAAGTGCAGACTCAAGCTCCAGTAGGACTACCAAAAGCACTGTCCTTGGTATATCTTTTATGCTTTTTCTCTGTTTTAACTTCTCATAATGTAACTACAGTACAAAGTCCAAAATCCGGAGTGGTCGGGACTTTGGCGATTCTGGATTTAGGATTTTTCCGGATAATAGATCATCAATTTAAATCTGGTAAGATGGCATGCAGAAATTATACAATTAAAAATATGAAATCATAATTTATGAAATAAAGAATAATGATGATCCAAAAGGTATCAAAATTTACAAAAGAAAGCTTAATATTTATTACTTTATTAAAAATTTCTTTCAATGTAAGTTGTTTAAGATGCTTCCACAAAAAATTCCTTTTTCTTTTTTCTTTTGTCATATGCAGTGGACCTTCCGATGCCATACTCCTCGCATAATTTTGAAACAGATATGCCTTTATCCATTTTTTGCAGCAATTCCACTTTTTGTTTAATGGACATCGAAATATTGTTTCGCTTTGTAGATCCTTTGGCAGCTTCAGAATTGGAAACTCTTTTTGACATAATCAAAAGTTCAAGCTTAGTTTTTATAAAATTGCCGTAATAATAACAGTCTGCAAAAAATAAAAAGCTGGAACAAATTAGAACATTAAAGAACAGTGCAATCTGCTGCATTAACTGAAATGCCTTAGAATTAGTAAAGATAATTTTAGCCTAGCTTAATAGCCTCCGTTATACATTATTGGCTGTGTATCACAAGATTGGCGACGAAAGCCAAGTTGTTTTGCTAAATTTTGTCTTGCTCCTATTGCGTACTGAATTAAGCTTGAATTGTATTAGGTATTTACTGTACCTATGTTTATTTCTTGCACATGCTTCAAACTAATCGGAGTCATGAATAAATAAACTCCCACATATACTTAAGGCTTTATTTAGGGCCGGCGCTCGATACCGCCTGCTTCAGTCTCTATAAGTCCTAAATTCTGCTTTCCTAAGTTCTAAATTTTCACCGTGCCTAAACTTTGGATCCCAGTGCTTTCCCTAAATCATAAATACTTCTCATCCCTTAATTTTGCCGCTCGGTGCTTCCCCAAATTCCAAACATTTCGTCTACCCTAAATTCTGCTGTCCGATGCCGACATATTCTGCCGACACTTCTGAGTTTATGTTAAATAACATATCAGTTATTCTTAATTCAAATAGCACTAAATTTAATCTTTTGGCCTATGAGTTTCATTAACAAAATCTATTTTTAGCATATGAAAATAAATTTTTGTTGAATTTTTCCTTGTCAACATTTCTTAGAGCATTTAAAAATCTATAATCGTCGCCAAGCATAATGTTAGCATAAAAGGTTGCCATACTCTTGTTATTCAATTACTAATATAAAAAAAGGGTACTTTTCCATTTTGGCCGGCGCAAGCGATAAAGTCGCCAAAAATGATACAACCGATACCAAACGAAATATCCTCGCTGGTAATCTTTTACGCCTCATTTTCAAAACAATTCGCAGCCATTTCTTATCAGATTGATTGTTTCTTTCAATACTGGTATACAATTACATAGAATTTTGACCCAGATAGTTCAAATTTTATACCATAAGGCCATTCGCGGCAATTAAGTCAATTAGGATGTAATCACACCACTCACCCGAAGGCGAAAATATAGAAAAGGCAAAGTCAAGGGTTAAATTCATCAATTCTAATGAGAATGCACTAGCGAAGTAAAGCACTGCGGTTTTACATAATTTCTGAGTAAGCTATTCGTACGAATTGAAATAATTCTTGCATTTAAACTTGTATTCCAAATTAAGATATAACTTGAAATTAATGTAGATAATTACTGAGAGAATTAGATTTTTGTCGTACCGTGAAAGCGTAGCAAATTCTTAAATTAATGTCTTTTTACAAAATTTTAAGCCATATTAAAATGTTCATACCTTCAAAATAAAAACTTCTTAGAACTAACATTTGTTAACACTTTTTATGTGTGTGTGTGTTGTCGCCAATAAAGTCTGCTTGGCGAGATTTGCGCCGCCGAAACGGAAAAGTACCAAAAAAAGTTTAGACATCACAGCATGAGTAATTACTGAAGCTGTCGTGTATTGATAAACGTGGTGATGAAAGCAAAATATAATAAATAATGACTCGCCAGATCGGCATCAGGGGTATAAAATAGGTGAATGTATCGATTTAAGATGTATGCCAAGTAGATACTCAGCTATGGAGCCAAATTATTAATCTCACAAATTTATGCTTACATGATTGTTTTTTCATAACAAGGTATTTTATTTAGTGCCTAAGTGAAATTAAGAATAAGAATTTTAAGTGAAAATCTCCACGTGGAATTATGGAAGAAAATATCAAATGCACATGCGTGATAAAAAAAAATGTTTGTGGCTTTGAGGTCCAGATTTTAGATCATTCTGGATAATGGACGTCTGGATTTCAGACTTTGTACTGTATTTCATTTTTTATGATTGGAATTTGTACATAATTTTAATGACCAAAGGAAATTTTAAAGTACATATGTTGAACTTTATGTAATATATAAAATAATAGGTTGCAGTATATACTTAATCTCAACAGACATGGGGAAATTGGAGAAATTGTAGGCATTTTGTCTAGAAACTGCATTGAGTGAAATTCTTTTAAAAATGTTTTTCTTGATAGTATGATCTCATGTTGATACAGATGAAATTATTTGGACTATTTCTTGGAGCAAATAACAAGAGAAAATGTATAAAGTTTGTTGATATTTTTATTGTTCAGTTGGAAGGTTTTTCAGCTTACGAATTTACACAGCAGCATTATTATAATCATAATTAAAATTTTCTTTTTCTTTTCTTTTTTACTCCATAAAGGAAGTATTGTAATCGTGAAAAGTATTGGTTTTCGTATTTCAATGGAAATATCCATTTTGACCATTTCTGAATCCATTTTGTCTAGTTCTGTTTTAATGTCTATACAGACATATGTTGCATAACTCCAAAACAGTTTGCAGTAAAATGCTGAAATTTTGTATTTGGGACTTTTGACTAGTTTTGGCATGATGTGTATGCATATGTACTCTGTTAATTCTAAAGCAATTAGTCGTAGAATGTTGATATTTTGTATATGGGACTACTATAACATCTAGTTGTGTACATCTGTTTTTTATTGCAATTTGCAGCTCTAAAAGGGCACTTTGAGTTGTAAGATCGTATCTCACTTTCAGATGAAATAACTTTAAATGAAGTGCAACAAAAAGTGTGTATGGGTATGGAGGAAAGGAATAGAATAGTTGTGTACATCTGTTTTTTATTGTAATCTGCAGCTCTAAAAGGGCACTTTGAGTTGTAAGATCGTATCTCACTTTCGGATGAAATAACTTTGAAGTGAAACAAAAAGTGTGTATGGGTATGGAGGAAATGAACAGATGTGCAAAGAATTCTTGTGGTGTACACATCAGATTTATTTATTTATTTATTTTTTTTGTTATAAAATTAAGAATCTGTGAGGGAGTGAATAATTCCTTGTATTAATTTAGTGATGGATAGGAACAGAGTTCTGAAATTTGGAATATGTTTTTCTGGACAGTGAAGGCATGCACCCTGAAGTGATTTTTTTTCAAAATACACTTTAGATTGTTTTGTTTAAGTTTAAAGTGGTTTTTTTGTCAAGTTTTTGCATATATCTTTATTTTACAAAGAAACTAAAAAATCTTTGAATTGTACAGTTTACGCCAGGTAGAGTTGAAAAAAAATTGTTTTAAATAAAGTTTATACTGGAATTTAAATTTAATTTGCTATTTTTTGGTAATTTTTTTTTCCATTTCTTGTTTATTATTTTAAAAATCTAATAATGTATTTGTTAGACAGTCTTAAAATTTTCACAGATCATAAAATTATCTCTTCATTCTCTCGTATTAACCCCACTTTGCTAGAAAGAATTGCCATATTATTTCAAATGTAAGCTGCAGTAAGATTTTAAAATTAAAAAGTAGGAAAATGAATAAAAATTAAAAATAATTTTATAATATGTATTGAAAAATGAAAAAAAAAAATGCTTTCTTGGATAAGTGTTAATATAATAAACTGCCTAATTTTTGAGAATCTTCTTCAGATTATACTATCACTTTGAACATCTTCACTTTCAGAGCTTTGTTAAACTTTCTTAATAAAAATGCAGCTTGAATTTAAAACAATACCGTATTCTTTAAGAAATCAGACTCATTTATAGAAATTTTCTGCCATTTCATAAATACTGTGTTTTTTCTCTATCTTTTTTTTAAAAAAAGGATAGACTTTGCATTGATTACCATATTATTTGATTTATATAATTTATTCTTTCTCACTTAATGTATAAAACGACAGAGTTTAAGAACTGAATGACATTTCAAATTATTTGCAATGAAATTTTCTGTTTTATTTATACAGTAAAAGCCCAACTATCCAGCCTTTGACTTACCAGAAACTATAATTTGTTTCTTTATTATTTAACTAAGAATGATATGCTTGTTTAAACGTCTGTTGGAATGATTGGCAACATCTCCACCAACTTTAGTGTTCAGCAGAATTTTGTAATAATTGAAATATGTCCGTTTTTATGATTGAAGTGCCTTTTTTTTCCAAAATATTATATAATTTTAACTGTAGACTTTTAATGTTCAAGTTAAAACAAATAAGATAATCGATTATGTTTAAAATTTTGTGGCTGAAAATTTTCCCACTGCTTAGGATTTTCTTGAATTCTATTTTTTATATGCTCAACTATCTGAAATTTCTACTTATATGGAATTTGGCATTGCTCGAGCTTTCCCCGAGTTGAGCTTTTACTGTAATTTCTTCTGTTTTGTTAGTTTATGCACATTTTTTTTAGCAATCTAATTTTAAAAGTTGGTTTTCTTAATTTTATTTTGCTGTGTTATATTCCTTTTAAAGAATTTCAAGTTCCAACATTCAAAACATATATCCGCTATAAAATTTTGAAGTTTTTGTAGATTATGAAACAAGCTGTTCACTATATTTGAAAACAAGACGGATAAAAAATATAAATTAGGCCAACCTTTTTTATTAGGAGGGCATATTTCAGAAATGCAGGTGTTCGGAGGACATCATGGAGCAGGCACCATAAGGTGGCTACGATAATATTAAAAATAAATATATAAAAATCTGAAAGGTTTCAGATTTTAAATTACATCCAAAGGGGCATTTTAAAAATATTTTGTGTGTTACCTTTATTTATTAAATATCATGTTCTTTGCACTTAAATCATAAAATTCAGTTCAACAGTAATGTCGCAAAATAATTTTAAAATGAGATATCTTTAGAATTTCCGACACACAGTCCCGCATGCTGGAGATAAAAAAAGGTTCTCCCCTTAGAGTGTTGCCATTGCTCATTCTTAAATCATTGAGTTTGTTAATCAAAAATTTGTTAAGTTTTACAAAATATGAAATCGATAATAAAACAAATTTAAAATTCAAATTAGGGCTTCTACATGCCCATATTCTATTGAAGATTACGTTATCCAAATTTTGATGGCTCTAGGTAACATTGTTTTATCACAATGCAAGAAACATACATACATTTATGCAGATTCTTCATTATTTAATTTATATATAATGTAGGGCTTTAAATATAATGTAGGGCTGTAACATTTGGTGGCAACAATTTGAAAAGTGATACGCTATTTATAGTGATTTGACACAAAATTGCAGAACGAAAACAATAGTCCATCAGGGACAAAGCCCCTTTGGACTAATAATAATAAAAACAAATGTGTAATTATATCTAAATAGAGTATATTTATATGGATTGTACATATTGTGATGCCCTAACATTTTTGCAGTCTGCTTGGCAAGATTTGCACCGGTGAAACAGAAAAGTACCCGCCATTCAAATATTCTAAATTCTAAATTTTATATATTTGGATAACAAACATGCATGCATGTAATCAATAATTTTAGTAAAAATTCTTATTTTAGTTTCACCATTTTAATAATTGTAAGAAGTATTATTGTTATTTTTGCAATAACAATTGTTGTTTAAGAAAAACATGTTGCTATAACACATTGTTCATAAATGTTGCTAAGCAAGAAAATTATAAATAATTGTTGTGTTTTTGAAATAAATTGTTGACATATAACAATCAGCTGATATTAAAATATTTGCTGATCATCAGCCACTGCAACTTTGTATGTATCTTTTCATTATCTTTTAATCTGAACATGTACTTTGCTTACAGCCCAAAATATGGGACTTGCTTATCATCGCAACCATCTTAGTAGAAGTCTGGGAACTATGCGCATAACGGTTTAGGTAACCATATCCATTGTAAGTTGCTATCCGAAAATTCACTGAATCACCATTATTTCTGTGAAAAGTCACCAAATTGCTTCAAAGTGGTTGCGCTAATAAACAAATACCGAAAATACAAGTTCATGGAATGCAAAGAGATTACAGATGTAAAGCATAGCATGCGATGCTTAAACAGAATATAAGAGGATAATGGAGACAGAAAATAGTTCATTGTATGTGGAAACAAATGTTTGTAGCAACTGAAATTTAATATTGATATGTTTGTCATCTTTATCTTCTAAATCCAAAACATGGGTATCTTTAGGATGAAAGAATTCCTCGCCACTATCACTGCCATAACTAAAATCAGTTGTGTATAGTTCGACCGTCTGAAACACGACCTTGGCTGACATTCTGTCAAAACACATAGACTCGTCCAAAAGGGACATTATTACTTGCTGTGACGTGATAGGTCACATGAATTCACATCTGGAAAGAGATAATTAATATGCTCGAGGGAAAGAAAGTCCTCATCCTTCCACCCTACTTTTAAAATAATTCAGTCCGAATGGCGCATGCGTGTTTACGCTTATGGTCGTGGATGAGGCGGTCAAACTATAATCATTCAATAGCTCAGCCAACAAATTTGCAACTCCATCAGCTGTCAGAGGTTTTTTATTCTGCACTTTTCTTTTTATGTGAAGACTGTACAAAACTGTCATCTGTACAACTCATGTTACAAAATTATATTTTCAACACAAGTAAAGAAATTATTCAAAGTCACATGCATTTACAACTGATTTCTTATCTTGACAATACCAGCATACATATTTGAAATGTAATGTCAGTTAAACTGGAGAGTAAACTATGAGGCATAGCTTTTCCTACACCAGCATGTGATTGGAACCTGAGATATCACCCCCGCACCATGCATCAATACGTGATTGGCTCTTCAACAATAATGTTGTATAATGCGCCAATGCTTGATGGGTGGGAAACATGCTAAAGCTATTTGTGCAGGTGGCCTTTAGCCTGGCATCATGCTGAAGGCATAGATTGTATATAGTTTATTTTTGGTTTACATGCATAATTCATGTACGGGAAATTTCCAATAAGTAAGAGTTTCTAAATTACTTTGATTTTTTAAAATAGTTGGTTTTATACTCTTAATTATATTGGCAATTCACATTTAATTAATATTTTAATTCCTTGTCAATTTATTTGCTAAATTTCTCAAAATTCCCACTAGTTTACATTTCTTTTTTAGTAATTCACTACCATTTGGTTTTGCTTTTGGTTTTGAATATTACTATACCCTTGCCGATATGGATGACGAAACACAAATTGAGTAATTGAGTTTAGTTAGTAATTGAGGAGTTAGTAATTGAGTAACAGTTAGGTTTGGAGGCAACTTTCCCTTGATAAGATCTGTCTCCTGCCTGCTCAACAATTATTCACTTATGCAAGTTAATTTAGCCTTAAAAATTCTTAAAAAATTTTTTTTGGATTAATTTTTTGGAATATTATATTTTTTTCATGGTTTTAGACACGTGCACTTAAGTTATATATGCTCTTAAAATTATATTGTAAATTAGTTTACTGCAATAATTAATCTTATTTTTGCAATAAAATTTTAAAATTAAAATTAATTGTAAATTAGCTTTATACGAATAGAGAATATTTGTTAAATTCAAATGACTAGTATATAAATATGTATAATATAATATAAATAACTATAATACTGATATTTGAAAATAATGATGAAACTACTGTTTGGATGGCAGATGTATTAATAATCTTGTAGCCATAAATATATTATTACATTAACTACAGTTTGGAAGATACATTCAAGAAACTGGGTGATAGTCATAGGTTTTTCAGTTCCATACTTTATTTTTTAATCTGTTCTTGCAGAAAAATGTATTATGTTACATACGTAGAAAGTTAATAAAATTGCTATTCTAAATTGCTGTATTTATTATTATTACCAATATATAATTGTTAAATAAAATCCCTGCTTTTGTGGTACTTGGTTGAAAATAGCGTGACTATTATTATTTGTGTTTGTGTATCTTACTTACTACATGTGTATAATTTTTTTAAAAAATTTTTTTTTTAGATCCTATAGCTGACATTTTGGCATTTAGCTATTCCAAACCAACTAAAACTGATAATACTGCTATAAAGCAAACAGTTCCAAATCCCCCAGTTAGCAAGACAGAAAATGTTCAACCAAAATATCCAGATGCTATAGGAAAACAAGAAAAAAGGAAAGAAGAGAAAAATGTTAGCCAGTCTATAAAAACAGAACAAGAAAAAAAGAAGGAAGAGAAAAGTGTTAGCCAGTTTGTAAAAACAGAACCTGTAGAATCAACATCAGAAACTTCAGTAACTCCTGCAGCAGATTCAAAACCTCAAATTGAATCTAAAGAATCATCAACCAAAGTAAAAAAAGAGATCAAAGCAGAAGAATGCGATGGCTCTAAAGACACATTAGAAGCTCAGAAGAAATGTCAGAAAGAAGATATAAAAGTAGAAAAAAAGAAAGCAGAAGATGCTAAAATTCAAAATAATGATGGTAATTTATCTGAAGAAAATGTTTCAAATAAATCTCTAACTACAACTCCTCAAAAGTCTAATGTTAACATTAAAATCAAATCTGAGAGAACTGAAACCGATAAATATAGCAAATCTGATAGAGCTGAATCTGATAAACATAACAAATCTGATAGAACTGACACAGATAAACATAAACAAAAGTTGAAAACCACAAGTTCTCATAAAAGCACTAGTAACTCAAGTAAGGCAAAGTCTAAGGAAACCAGTGAGAGTTCTAAGAATTCAAGTGAAAAATCTGGTAAAAGTACTCCTTCAAAGTCTCTAAAGCATTCAACTAAAGATCAGTCTTCTCCTTTAAAATCTGTAAAATCTTCAAAAGATGAAAAGAATGTTGTTAGTGGACTTAAACTCAAATCTAGTGATGGTAACATCAAAACAGGCGAATCTTCTTCAAAGAAATTGACTTCATCAAAATCAGGTACTCCCAAGAAAGACAATCTGGTGGCAAAGTCTAAGAGTGTCTTAGATAAAGCTGAAAAACATAAGAATGTAAAGGATCAGAAATCAGATAATCTGCGATCTGATTCTTCATCAAATATAGAAAAAGGAAGTAAAAGCAGCTATCCACATTCATCATCATATGAATCATCACAAGGTAGTGATCAAGAAAGAGGCTCTTTAACAAGTACTAAAGAAAGACAAAAACTGTTTAGTAAGCATTTCAAGAAAGATAGTCCAGTTCAGAAAGATAGAGATAAAAGTGATAAAAAAGTTTTTGATAAAAAGCGACTTGCAAAGGATGATGTTAGATTAATGAAGAAGCATAAAGAGAAACATTCAAAATTATTCACATTGGAGGAAAAGCAAAAAGAATCTTCCACATTTCAAGATTCAAGTAAACTTGGATCTCGATCAGACAGTTTTGGTTCTGGATCTTCTCTTACTAATTCACCAACTACATCCAAAGAAAATTCATTATCTACTTTTGAAGAAAGTAATGAGAATTCCTCTAACAAACTTACAGAAAAGAAGAAGCGCAATAAAGAAAAATGTCAAAGTCCTCAAATTCTTCCACCTCCTCCACCTCCGCCTCCATCATCAGGCTCTTTGATATGTGGCACATCTTCTTCTGCAGAAATGTCTTCCTTAGATGATACACAGTCTTCCAGTGAGAGTGAAAATTCAGACAGTGAAGACAGTGATGAGAGATCAAATATTGAGTCAGAAACTAATGAAAGCACTTCTTGTAGCATAAAAAATGCTAAAAAAGCTATTGATTTTGGTGAAAAGACAACATCTTTGCTGAAGCCACATAATCAGAGCTTGCAGTCAGATAACTCATCGTCTGAGTTTGAAGGATTTTGCTCATCTCCAGAGAAAGAATTTCAGTCTTCTGTCCATCCTCTTGACTCTGATGTTAGTGTAAGCTCTGTACATACCAGTGAACTGTCTACTTTTGAAGATGAGCTTACAGATGATGAAAGTTCTAGTGATGAGATTGCCCATCCTAAATCTCAGAAAATGAAGCTTACTGTTAAGGAGGGTGAGTTTTATTCTATTTGATAAATAAATAACAAACTATAATAATCATCCTTTAGTGTATAACATGGAACATTGAAAACTATTTTTCATTTAATTCATTTTTCATTTTTCATTTAAATAAAAATACCTATTCCATATTTCTTTTTATTTTTATAGCTAGAGAAAAAATTCTGATGAAAGCAAAATTGGGTAATAATCTTGCCAAAAAGGTAAATATATGAGTAAAATAGAAAGCTTTTTTTAGCCAAGCTTTTTCTATGTCTTCTGTATGCATTTTCTTTCACCCTTGGAATGATCCAGTGGCATGTGCTTTATAGTGTTCTGTCACTTTAATTTTAGATGACCTGTAATAAAATTTTTCATGCATGCCTAGATTTAATTTTTTTAAATTGTTGGGAAGGGGGAGAAAATCTTGCTTCATTTTACTTTTTGAAGACCTACCACTTTTAATTTTATCATTGTCTTTTTTAACATGCTTGTACCTTAAACTGCTTCATGCATAATTTTCTATGTAGCTATGCAATTTATTTGAAAATTTATTTGAAAATTTTTCTTTCTTGAAAATAAAACTTTTTTCTGCTTTGATGTTTCTTGTCTGTTTTTCTTTTTCCATGCTTTAATGTTTCTCTTTTTCTTTTCAAAGTACTAATATTTTTCAGTTTTAAAATTATTCTTAATAATTATTTATGATGGGCATAAAAGTATAATAAACACCTGCTCTAATACTTTTGCGTTTGAAACTGTAGGATTTCGCTGTTCTTTGCTGTTTCTTTGTTCATTAATAAACTCATAAAAAAAGCAAAATTTATTCTCAAATTACTTCTGATTCTAAATAAGAAATCGTACATATGTATTACTGAAGCCATCTTAGTAAAAGTTCCCAAATATTCAGAATGAGGGAAACTCATACGTTCTTTTCGTTATAAAAGTTTTAAGGACAGATTTATTTTAAATTCAGTTTTAAAATCTGCACTTGCGGAATCTTCTAGCAGTGGAAGAAACCAGGGTACATAGTAGAAACAAGATTTAGTTGAGTAATTTCTTATGACAAACTAGAAACAGGTTTAATATTTTTTAATGAGAGGATTTAAGAATTAAGTTAGCAATTTTATGCCAAATATATGTATATATGTATAAACACTTTGAGCAAATTCGCCAGAGGAGCAGGCTTTTCAAGCAAACAACCAATTCATAAATAAATATTTCATCACCAAATTAGTGTTTACGGAGTTTTCAGTTAATATCTCACAACAACCCACCACAATAAAAAATTAATCAAGTGCAGTCATCACATTGATTAAAATCAAACTTTTATGCAATTAGAATTAGTGATTTTGTTTCTGAAAACTTGTTTATATCATAATGATACAAAAACTAACAAAACATAAGTGTAATAAGCCATTTTTTAAAAAAACTTTTGTTCATATTCTTAGTCTAACTGTTATCTTTAAGTTAATTCTGTGCAATTATTTGTATTATGACTATGCTGTATATTGTGTAGAGAAAAATGTAAGGATTTAATGAAGAAAACTATTCTTTTAAAAGAGGTTGATGTAAGAAAAGGGTTGAGAATCTCTCGTTTGCACCATCAGATAGACCACCCCCAAAAAGGGGGGGGGATGAGGTGCCTAAGTAATGAAATTGGATTATTTAATTGCATTGTCAAAAGTACTTTATAAATTTATCAAGATCTCTTGTTCCCATTAAATTATATGATAAATTATTTTTATTAGCATACAATGCAATCGGAATGCTTCCTCTTCAATATGGATCTACATACACATCAGCACAGTTCCGGCTTTTCCTTGCTATTATTTCATATATATATAATTAATTATAATTAAGTATATATATGTATATATAATTTTTTAGGATTAATTTTTTTTGGATTATTAAATATTTTTTCATGGTTTTAGATACTTGCACTTAGTTTATGTATGCTCTCTGAATTGAATGATATTGCAAATTAATTTGCAGCAATAATTAATCTTTTATTTGTATACAGTTAAATTTTCAAAATTTAGATTTAAATTAGCTTTATATGAATGAGAGAATATTTGTTAAATTCAAATTTCATTCCTTGCAGCAATGGCGCAAGATAATTATTTAAATATCATTTAACTTTACTATTTATTCTTATATATATATATGAATAAACTTCTTAGGAACAGTAATTTTGATTATATATAAATATTTTTCAATTATTTGTTTATTTTTTATTATGCTAGAAATGGTATTTTTATAAGTTTTTTATGTACAGATAGAGGACAAAATAATACGAACACCTGTGAAAATAATGGAAAACCTTTATTAATAGAATTGGATCATCCTTTGACTGAAGTACAGATTGAATGCAACATGGTATAGATGCATAAAGGTCATGGACAATATTTAAAGCAATATTAAGCTATTTCTCCTGCAGAACGGTCTCTAATTCTGAAAGTCCTGGAGGTGGAAATCGAAGTTTGGGAACGAAGTTTGGACTCCAAATATGCCCATAAATGTTCAATAATATTCAAGTCCAGAAACTGAGGGGGCCAAGTGAGATGTTCAATTGCATTGTCATGCTCTTCAAACCATTCTTGAATACACCTAGCAGTGTGGATAGGGGCGTTGTAGTCTTGAAAAAGCGGTCGCTTCCCAGGGAATACAGTCTGGACAAAAGGATGGACATGATTCCCTAGAATGCTTAGATAGTGATTGGATGTGATCCTCCTATGCAGAATAAGAAGTGGCCCAAGACCGTGCCAAGATATCACACCTCATACCATAATGGTGTCACCTGCATGCTTCACAGTCAGCAAGAGGCAGTCAGGATGAAACACTTCTTTGGGTTTTCTCCAGACATAAATGCATCCGGTCATCTGAAATAGGGTGAATGATGATTTATCTGACCATATTACCTGTTGCCATTGCTGTGGGGATCAGCCTTTGTTATTTCTGCACCATTGGTGTAGCTTGAAAGCATTAGTTGCTTTCACCAAGGGTTTACGAATTGCCACTCCACCATAAATGTTCGCAGCATGAAGTTCTCTTTTGACAGTTTTTGTTGAAATGGTGTCCTGGAGATGACTGCTTATTTCGGATGTTATCTCAGATAACGATTGCTTGTGCTTTCGGGCTACTATGTGCTTCAAGACCCGTCTATCCCTATCAGCCAGCTTTGACTTTCGGCCACTGTTGTGCTTTAAAGATGTCGTCTTACCCTCTTTCCTGTACACTGTCATAACGGCTGATACCGTACTCCTTGCACACCCCATAAGGTTTGCTGTTTCCGTAACCGATGTTCCACTTATACGCGCTCCAACTATCATTCTTCCTTGAAACTTTGGCAGGTCTGACATTTCAACTTCTCGCAGACAGTTCAACTTCTCACGATTGAACCATGCAATGCAGGTGACTGCTGTTGAGAGATTCATACCTTCCTCTTCATGCTCACTAGGTGGCACGGCTGTACTGCAAGTGTGAAATATATCATGTTTTTTCATAGGTGTTTGCATTATTTTGTCCTCCATCTGTATATCACAATATAAATTTATCAACAATAAATTATGTTGATTTGTAAAAAATATAACCTACAAAGAATTTTCTTTCTTTATTTTTTCCCACATTAGTAAGATTCTATTAGATTAGAAAGACAGCATTCTTAAGCTAGCCATTTGATCATGTTTAATGTGAATTTTTATTTCACTAAGAAGAAAATGTACAGAATATAATTCCTCAATCAGCGACTGCATGTTTAGTGAGATAGTAATAATTATTTCTAATTATTACTATCTCACTAAATGAGGAGGGTAATATAGAGATTCAATGGTATTAATATTTTTGACGTTTTTATAATATAGGATAAGAATACAAGATATGCTTATGCATTAGCCATTTCTTGGTTTTCATGAAGGAATATAAAGGAAAAAATTTGATCCATATAATCTCCACATGAGTATTCTTTTTTTCAATTTCTATGTTTTTGCTATATGAAACTATATGTTTTGTACAGGTTAATGTGTGTGTTCATGTGCACTTTTGTTTTTATGTAAACAGTAGGATCTGATTTGAATAATATGTTAAAAATATTGTTCAAGAACTGTTGTTGAATGTGTAGGCTTTCTGCCCATTTTGAAGAAAACAAATAAAAGCTGCATAGGTATTTAGGAATTTTGTAATTGCTGCATATAGCAGATAATTTTGTAATATTTTCATTTGTATTTTTTGTGCACATATTTTTTTTCAAGAGTTGTCATGGGCTTTCAGAGAGAAAATAAGGGCAAATTGTGTGAACTTTGGAATCGAATGACCCAAGTAATGACTCCACCTGGAAAATTACATGAATGTTACTTGGTAAATTACCAACTTAAAGAGTTAAATAAAAGTTAAATGATCAACACAGGCGTCATGAAACTGATACATAGAATGTTCTTTCCATAATAAAAGGTAATAGCAATTTTAATTTTAGCCTCATGTGAACTTTGAGCCTGTGTAACTTAAAATTTAGACCATTAGGGCTAACGAGCTCTTCTTTCACCTTCCACAAGTTCACACTTCCTTTGGTGTTTTCAGATTCATTGCAAATAAAAAAATGTTTCCTGGTCTAATAATAAACACATATTTATAAATATGCATTGCATTTAAACTTCATTTTTATTTCAATCTAATCAATCTTTATTTTAAAATAACATTTTTATTTCAATCTCTTAAAATCTTTTTTTTTTTTTTTTTTGCCATACAAAGAATTAAGATTATCTTTATGAGCTGTATCCTTGCATCATCTCCAAAATAATTGAGATAGAAAAAAATGAGAATATAATACTTGTGTGGGAAAAAGTTATTCTAACCTAACATTTCCTTGAAATGGTATTTCTAAAATTTTGAATTAATGACATAATTTCAACGATACTGCTTTCATTCCAAAATTACTTGGTAGTTAGGTAAGGCATATAGTTTAGTTTAGTGACGGAGGACGCGGGCACCATCCCTTTACCGTTATGGTTAATTGGTAATAGCACCATGTCCACCATTATCTAGAGACTAATGGGACTACAGGTCATACATTACAGTACTTACGATATCGTACTATATAAATAAACCATACAATTTGCATGATACAGTATATGCATGATACAGTATATAATCAAACAGGATTATTAAAGCATAATGCTGGTGTGTATACAGTTAAAATGCAAAATACTAAGTATCGATTTAAGTTATATGATTAAATAATATTATATTATTCATACATAAAACCTTAAAAAAATAAATATATAAAATAAAATAAAATAATAATAATTAAAAAAAAAATATTAAAAAAGAAAAAAAAATACAATATCCTACATATGCATGATACGGTATATAATCAAACAGGATTATTAAAACAATGCTGGTGCGTATACAGTTAGCAAATAAAATGTGTTTAATTTGTTAGTTTTCTGTTGTGACATTTTATTAATTAATAGATCCACACCATTTAGTCAATTAAAATGGCCATCTAAAAGTTCATCATTCCTTTGGAAACTAAAAATGATGTTCTTTATTCCTCTGAGATCTTTCAGCTGTATGTCATTTTAATGCTTAATTCATTCATACTTTGAAGAGTGCTTTTTCCATATTTCTTGGAGCTTGAACTCTGAAGCAGTTGGTTTGTGCAAGAATATGGGAATGATTGCTGCAGTTATACTCTGAATAGTATTTCAATTTTTATTTTTGCAAAACTATGTTGTTCTGTCATATATATAAATCCATAATTATAAACCACACTCATAATGAATATTATTGGCACTATTTCTCAACATTAATGCTTTTAGTAAACTTTTTTCTAATTAGAATTAATAATGAATAAATAAATTGCCAAATAATATTTATATTTCAGTTTTTTTCATGTAGATTTTTTAAATTGAATTGAGGATTTTTTCTAATATCCTGCTTTTTACTGTTCTGTCTTAGTATGTAGTTTTATATTTTTGTCTCATAAACTTTTCTTGCATATATTGTTTTAATCTTAAAATGTAATGTTTCATGACATATTTTGAAGTCTTATTAGTAGCTAATACTAATGACTTTTATTCCTGTATCACATTTTATTACTTTTTTACAGAGTGCATTGTCTTCTGAGAGTAAGAAGAAGGAGAGTAATTGCAGTTTACAGTTACCTGTTTCATATGCTTCATGTAAGCTAATTTTAATTATTTATGATTAAATAACATTTGTATTTCTGTTTAATAGAGGAAAAAGTTTTAAATTTAAAAGCATTTCAAGTCTCTTTTTTTTTTTTTTATTAATGTCATCTGAAGATTTAGTTAGAAAATTAGTGATCTGTTCATAAAAACTTGTGATTCAGTAGTATACTGCCTTAAAATGTTCATAATTTATTTACTTCAATTAAGAAAAGAGTTTTTAGTAAAAATATCATGAAAAGATATAATCTTTGCAAAAAACATGGTTAGTTTTTATTATAAGTAATTAATAAAGAACTTGGGTTTTTGTTCTTTTTAAATCTTATAGTGAGATATGAGTTCATGGAAATTTCTTTAATAACTGTGTCAGATGAGCAGGAAGAAATGACTGCTGAAATAAATAATAGCTTCCAGTAAAGTAAATGTTAGAAATAACTCAAAGGAAATAATAGAGATAATGCAAATATTTTTTAACAGATGAATATTGCATGTCAGTAATATCACTCATAGAGTAAATTCTGTAGCAGTAATCACTAAATTCAAAACTGACTTGCCTATCTGACTCTGAGCTGAACTGACTCGCATAGCTGACATGTTGCAATATATATAACAAAGTTTATGACATGTAGATATACCAATGTGTACACTAATACAGATACATTAATGTTTGTGAAAATTGCAACACCATGAAGGAATTATGCAAATTGAACCAAACTTACAGGAAATGTAAAGTGAGATAAGACATGCAAATGATTAGAATTACAAAGCGATTGCGCATGCGTGGAAGAACTAGCTACTTGTTCCATGCATATGAAGGTGTGTAAAGTTGTGTTGAAATTTGTTTACATCTTCTGTCTGCAGTGAATGTTTAATTAGTTGTCAGGATGTCTCTTCAACAGCGGAGGATGCTACACCAACAACTAATGGAATTTGAACGAGGCTGCATTGTCAGTATGTGAGAGGGTTGACTTTTGTATCGAGTAATTGCATGCAGCATAATGCCACAACAGTGATGCATGTTTCAAAGAAATGGATAGAGGAGAACCAAAGAAAGCAAAATCCTGGCAGTGGGGCACGTAGTAGCATATGGCGACAGACACCTCATCTCATGGCTGTGACAGATCGTTCAGTGTCCTCTTATGTGTTAGCACAATGTGGAACAGAGCTGCAGGTGCTGTGTTGTCTAGTTCCATGGTTCATCGCCATCTGCTGCAGCATGAACTGCGAGGGTTGCGAGGGTTCCTCTATGCAGGGTTTCCCTGTTGCTGAATCACAGATGCCTCCAACTTCAATGAACATGGCGTGCTTTGTGGCAACAAGTTGTTTTGTCATTAATTTCTCAATTATCAAATACATTAAGATCTTTATTCAAAGGGCTGGGAGCAACAGATTTGTTACCTTAAACAGAGGTGTTCCTGACAGTAGGTACTTCTGTAGTTGCCTGCCCTTTTGGAAGTTTGAGGAAAATCACTAATAGGGCTTTAAAATTCTAATAGGGCTTTTTCTGGAAATTTTCAGAAAATTGCCAAGCTAATGAGAAATTGCCAGATATCAGCAAAGGGTACTTTTCCATTTCACCGGCGCAAATCTCGCCAAGCAGACTTTATTGGTGACACGTTACAATATACACATAAAAATGTTAACAAATGTTAGTTCTAAGAATTTTTTATTTTGAAGGCATAAACACTGTAATATTGTTTAAAATTTTGTAAAAAGCCAGTAAATAAAGACAATAAATTTGTAAAAATACATTAATTTAAGAATTTACGATGCTTTCATGGTTCAACATCCTGATTTGCTGGTTCATATCACGTAACCCCAAGTGATCTCATCTCATGTAAACTACTCTACAAAAATCTAATTCTCTCAGTAATTATGTACATTAATTTCAAGTTAAAACTTAATTTGGAATACAAGTTTAAAATGCAAGAATTATTTCAATTTGTATGAATAGCTTACTCAGAAATTATGTAAAACTGCAGTGCTTTACTTCGCTAGTGCATTCTCATTAGAATTGATGAATTTAACCTTGACTTTGCCTTTTCTATATTTTTGTCTTTGGGTGAGCGGTGTGATTGCATCCTAATTGACTTAATTACCGCAAATGACCTTAAGGCATAAAATTGAGCTATCTGGTAAAAATTCTATGTACACTGCTCAAAAAAAAAAAAAAAAAAAAAAAAAAAGGGACAGTGCTATATCTCCCGATCTACTGGGCCGATTGACAAAATTCAAATTGCGTTCTTCATGTCTCGAAAGTGCGACTTAGGATATATATTAGATTTATATAAAGCACTATTCTAACATAGGTATATTGACACAAAATCGGACTTTTTCTGAAATAACATACCAATTTTTTTACATATTTCGATTCTACGACTCAAATTACACCTAAATATGAAATTTTGTAAAATTTGGAACGAAATTTACGGAGAAATTCACAAATTTATGTTGGCACTTTTTTTGTCAGTTTTGCGCCAAGAATACTTCACTTGGCGAACTTCTTAATATATGGCAACCTAGTTTCCTTTCCCGTGAGAGGAAAAAAGTCACCATCGTTCCTTTTTTTCCAAATAATATTCTTTATATTATATTTTTAATTATAACTTATTATTTTAAGTAATTTTTTCTTTTCCGAATTTCATTTTAATTGTTTAAGTTGCACGTTTTTTTTTTTTTTTTTTTTTTTTTTTTTTTTTCCGAATAACTGTTTTTAAAAATTTCTATTTACCTGTTCGAACTGCGTAAATAAAGGTGCAGCGTTTATTTTTTTTTTTTCAAATAGTTTTCTTTATATATATTTTTCGTCATAGTTATTATTTTAGGTAATTTTTAAATTTTTATACTTTTATTTTAATTGTTTGTGTTGCATTGTCTCTTCAGATAATTGTTTTAAAATTTTCTATTTATTCCTTCGAACTGAGCATTTTAAATATATTTATTAATATCAATTTTCCAGAATATGATTTTATTTATTTGAACTACGTTTCTTTTCGGAAGAATACTTTGTAACCCAGACTACGATGAGTTTGAAAACTGCATACTATATAAAAAGAGAAAATACAGTAAAGCACAGTTTTACACGCCTTTCAATGTTCCGTTCAGAAAAGATATATATAAATAAGAGAAAAGGGAAAAAATGTCATATAATTAATTCTCCGTAAAATTTTACTTGAAATTTAAGGTTAAAAATAGCTGTGGCAATACAGTGTAACAAAAATCCATAGACCACATTTGGCGTTATTATCGCGAAAAAAAAAGATGCCAAATTTCAAAACGCGAAAATATGTAAATTTGTGTATATCTTAGAAAATTTTGAATAAAAAAGTCTGATTTTTTGCAGATATGCTAAAAATATACCTACTTTAAGATGATGGTAAAAATTTTATAGGTTATAATTCAAATTGTTTTCGAAAAATTTATAAAAATTATTTTAAAAAATAAAAATTTAAAAAATAAACACAAAAAATGGGTAAATTTTATTTGGAATGAACCTAAATTTCGAAATGTGAGATGAAAAATCAAAGAAGTTTAATAAAAAAGAGATATAAATAAATATTTTTGCCAAATTCAATTAACATTAAGGAGCTAAAATTTTTGAGAACTAATATTTCAAAAACTACTCGTACGATTTTACAAAACTTGGTTTTCTGGCATAATTTGAGTCGTAGAATCGAAATATGTAGGAAAAAATTGGTATGTTATTTCAGAAAACGTCCGATTTTGTGTCAAAATACCTATGTTAGGGAATAGTGCTATATATAAATCTAATATATATTCCTAAGTCGCGCTTTCGAAGACATGAAGAATGCAGTTTGAATTTCGTGAATCGCCCCAGTAGAACAGGAGATATAGCACTGTCCCATTTTTTATTTTGAGCAGTGTACATATAACCTATTAGAAAAGTACCTATTATTCTATTTTCGTTTTTCACATACAAATTTTGCCAGAATTAAGAAATCCTTAATTTGCTTCAGATATCAAAATGATCATTTCAATGTGCACATAATTTTTACTTTTATGGATGACCTTATCAAAGAACTCATTTATTATCACATAAAATCTAAAAATGATGCATTTAGGATATTTGTTTTATGTTATTATTAATCCTCCTTAGATAAAAACATAAAATTGAGCTATCTGGTAAAAATTCTATGTAATTTTATGCCAGTATTGAAAGAAATAATTAATCTGATAAGAAATGGCTGCAATTTGTTTTGAAAATGAGGCGTAAAATGTTACCAGTGAGGATATTCCGTTTGGCGTCAGTTGTACCATTTTTGGCGACTTTATCACCTGCTCCAGCAAAACGGAAAAGTACCCACCAAAGTCCGTCGAGAGAGTTTCTGTCTACCGTATATACCCGCGTATAAGTCGACCCCCCCCCACTTCGACATAAAAAATTCGTAGAAAATAAGAAACCCGCGTATAACTCGACCCCCCCCACTTCCGAAATCGATCGAGAAACTTCGAAAATTTTTTTTAAGTACTACATTTATTCAAAATCATCTGAGAGAAAAAAAGTAAATATACGATAAAAAATACCTTGGTAAATAAGCAAAATCAAAATCCTTCTTCTAGAATTTGTCCCGGAAATTCTAGAATTCTAGAATTTGTTCCAGAAAAGATTCACGTACGTAAAATCTATCTGCATTTCCCCTTTTTAAAAGTTAAAAGAAATATTCAAAACTGTTCAGTTATTGCGTGGGCTATTTTTTAAAATTTTAACGTGTACGCCTGTTAACAAAAGTATTTCATGAATGAACAATAACTATTATAAAGACTTATACGTATGTTTTATCAAAACTTACTCTAGTTAAAGTATGAAACTCTGTGATTAGTTCATCATATAATTTAAGTCATGAAATTACTTCAAGTAAGTGACTTATTTGATAAGTCGTCCAATTTGAGTGCGGGAAGAAAACTGCATTATATAAAGAAATTTTTGAGCTTCCGATTCTTTTAATTTTTTATGGCCCCCCGTATAAGTCGACCAACCCCACTTTGAAGTCTTTTTTTTTTTGTCCAAAATATCTTGACTTATACGCGGGTATATACGGTATATCTTGGCTTCTAATTGAGATATTTTCACAGTTAATATTTGATCAATTGAGAATTACAAAATCTAGAAATCTGTGTACAAAATAAACACTTAAACATACATTGCCCAAAATTTTGTGCATGCTAAAGTTATTGCATAAATACTCTAAATAAATAAATAAATATATTTACATTATAAAAATACCTAAAGGATCAAAATACAATTAAATATGCACAAATATATATAATAGTATTATTTTAATACAAAAGAAGGTCAGTTTTGTCCACATTCAAAATAGTATATGACATAGTTATTTGGTTTGATCTGTTTCACATGAAATATATATAATTTATACTACTGTATACTGTAAAACTTCATTTGTTTGCCTTCTATCACACTTCAGATCCTGTCATCTGACTAAACAGAAGTTAGCTTTCTTTTATTGTTTCGTTTTTCAAGCTTGTTCTATAAATTTCTACTCATTTTACAGAAGCTTTAACTTTTGTGTTGTTTCTCCTCCTATCAATAAAACTCACTGCTTCATATTTAAAGATCCCATTCCAGATATGAACTTCTGGGGTGTATACAGTATTCTTTGCCAATGTGGTTTAATATAAATTGGTCAGACAAAGAAAGCTTTAACCCTTTGACTACTGGTGGGACATATACGTTCCACTAAAAGTTGCTGGGTTAAAAAGTACTTCGAATCTCCTGAATATTGGGGATCATCTTGCAGTAGTTGAAAAATCAAGACACTGCTGTATTCGTTGTACACATTGTACATAGAGAAAAGAACAAATATGAGTTTTACACAATGTGTAATGTTGGGTTATGTAACAAATGCTTTACCCTGTACCATATGATGTAAAATCTATTTCATATATCAAAACTTTCCAGAATAATAATTCTGCTTAGAGTAAGTGAACCGCTACACATAGGACATATGTATCCCACCATTAAATATAGGTGGGGATACAAATTAGGCTGGAATAAATATGTAGCAGCCATAGGACTGGGACATATGTATGCTGGCCTTTGGCTTGAAAACTGTTCATCAAAAAAATTCAAAATGCTAAGTTTACCTTATTTATGACATATTTTGCTCACTTGGATAGAACCCGTGGTGAAATTTAAAAAAAAAATTTGTAGTCAAAGGATTAAAATTTCATACTAAGTAACCTGAATTTTTTTTAAACCAATGGCGGGACCTTTGCCGACTTTGGGCTTGATCACTACTGCGGCCAGAAGTTGCAGTCACTTTATTATGGAGGCATCTAATAGGTGAGCCACCTTTGCTTCCTATAAAGAGATGGACAGTTATAACCATGCCTTCTTTGGAATTCGAACCCAGGCCCTTTGGTATTGCAGTCGGCTGCCCTAACCACTATACCAGGTTATAGGTTACGAGACAACTCTTCTCCCTCTTTTAAACAGAAACTGAATACATGCAGAAATGAAGGTTGGCTATGCAGGTGGCTAGTTACATAAGTTGTACATTCAGTCAGCTGCCCTAACCACTGTACTGGGTTATAGGTTACGAGACAACTCTTCTCCCTCTTTTAAACAGAAACTGAATGCATGCAAAAATGAAGGTTGGCTATGCAGGTGGCTAGTTACATAAATTGTACATTCATTTATTTAATGAAGTGCACTAAAATCATTCATAAAAGCTACCTTTGGATGTAACCAGTTTACCCTCATCGATAGTTAAATAACTGCATTCAACATTGCTGATAGTAGTGATTTCTAATTTGACCACTCTATGAACAATGAAAATTATATGGAACTAAGAATGATTATCTTAGAGCAATTTCATTATTTGTATATTATCAGAATATTCTAAAAAATTAATAAATTTATTTTTCATATTATCTGTAATTTTATATTGTTTCATATATTTTAGAAACTTCTTTAAGTGCTATTTCAGTCTGATCATAAATACTCTTTCAAGTGAATTTATTCAGATTTTTAAAATATCCAAAATGTTCTTTCAGCTGAAGACGAGTCTTCTGTACCTGCTGAACCAAAAAGAGAATTAAGAAGAGAGCGCAAACTGAATCCAAAATATGCTTCCAGTGAATACACTTCAATATTTAATTCTAGGAAAAGGAGTTTTATTACTAAAACTCCTGAAGAATATGAAAGAAAGGAAATTAGTTCTGAATCAAACAGAAAAAAGAATTTGAATGCACCAGCAGTAAATACCAAGGAAACTCAAAGGAAAAGCTCTTCAAGATTATCAGTAGAACTAAAGAACAAATCAGTTCCTGAAAGTGATTCTGATGAATGTTCAAAAACATCCAAATCTGATCATAAAATAACTCTTAAATCTTTTGCTGTTGTTGAACAAAAGTTGTCTGATTTAGAAAATTTATCTGATTCTGAGGATAGTAGTAATATCTCTAAAGAAAAATTAGATTTGAATAATATTGATGATGATTATCTATCTGATAATGATAACTCTAGAGCAAGACTAAAAATTAAAACTGCAAATAAGTGTTATAATCAAAGAGATCTGAATTCTCGTCCAACGAAAAGGAAGGCAGATTCAGTTATTAAATCTTCTAACAAGCGACCTTGCAGCAGGAACTCTGTTGATTCTTGTAGTTCAGAATTTGCTGCCAATGAAAATAAACCATTTAATAATGAAAGGATTTCTTCAGGAACTTCAAGTTCTGGCAATAAAAGTCATAGAATAAATAATGATTTCAAAGATTCTGCGGATATCAGAGATAATCGAAAAAAAGATCACAAGCAGAGAACAAGTAATAATGGGGATCTCTTAGGTAAACGAGAAATGTTAAGAAATAATTCACATTCTAAATTGCATCACACTTCAGGAAAGAAGCCTGATGGAGATTTTAAGTAAGTGTGTTAAACATGTTGTAAGTAACAATATTGATTACATGTAAACTAGAAATTAAATATTAACCATGTTGATTATTTTTACTTATTTTTTATTGCTATTTCCAGAAATTATATGAACTTGTTAAATTTCATCTCCAGAACATGAATATGAACATTATTTTTTAAGAATGGCTCTTGTTTAGAAGTTAAGCAAAATTTATATTGCATTTTAATAGACACGAGTACTAGCTTGCTCGTATTTTGAAGATATGGCATTTTTGAAAAAAGAAATGCAATAACATTTTGTTACTAAACTTCACTTTTTGAACAAGAATATGCAGTTTAATTTCTAAGATTTGTTTTCACTTAGAAGTTAAGCAAAATTCATATTTTTGTAAAACATTGATAAGCAGTGGTTTGCTTATATTTTGAGAATTTGGTGTATTTGCTATAACTTTCATACCAGTGTTTTAGCTTTATGAATTATCTATGTATTTGAAACTTCATATAAAATAAGTAAATGAACTTTCCTATGAACTCTTTGATAACAGTAAACCTCTCCTTTGAACAGTAAAATTTTTGCATCTTAATTTTCTGTGTTTAAGTGCTGACTTTGCGAGGTTTGGTTAGTTTCCCGCCTTTCAATGGCAAAGGTTGCAGGGCATTATTTATGCCCTTTGACTAAAATTATTTTTTATTGAATAATTACTTTGTGCATGTTTCTTAAAATATTGTATTGTTATTGTTGTTATGAGACTCTCAGCTACTATACACAATGTACGTAGTCAGATTGTGATAACTAAACATGCACCTCTTCTGTTACATCAAAAAAAGATCCATTCAAGCTTTTTTAATGCCATTTTTATGGCTAGCACACCTAAACTGGTAAAGATTGGACACCTATGTTACAAAATGTTTGTAGAAAAATGGTATTATTGTGATTTAATACATTACTTTGCTGCTGTTTATGAATGTACTTTTGTGATGTAGACACAAAGACTTAAACAACAGTTAAGCATGTCCAATAATCATTATCCTTTTTATCAAGCAGTTTAATTTGCAGGAGCTTTTTGAATATACTTCTAATGCACATTCATTATTGTTAAAAAAATGCTTGCTTTTTAGAGAAGTTTATTTTAATTTCAAATTTCATTTAATATAACTAGCGAGGCTTTTTCTGATGGATTTTCATTCTGGTACTTGTGTGTTAACGACATCCACAAATACATCATCCAAAATATCACCTGTTATTGAGTCCTATGACTTTTATGTTTTCTTTGACTTGATTTGTAAGATGAAGCTCATTCTTTGATAAGAAGTTATAAAGTATCTCTGACTTTTGTTTGAGAAGGCAGTGCTGTTTATTTTTTGGTTGTTTTCATCTCAAAACATACACTGAACGACATCTTCAGTGGAAGGAGCTATCAATTTACTGCATGAAAATTTATTCTATAGGATGCTTCAACTCCATATTCATTGTCCATGTTAACTGATAAGGGATAAGATCTAGAGATTATCTGAAAGAAGTTTATTGCTATTTTATTTGTAATTGTTTGTAACTTGTTTTTAAATGATGCAACAGTGATGAAGGTTTCATATTTTCATTTAGTAAAATATAGTACACAAAGAGAACTGAGTTTTTCTCATCTCCTGTGGATGAAAATCCATACATTACTATAAATCAGAATACTTTCTTTTCTTCTGCACAGGACTCTATGTGGAATGCTTTTAACCACTCCAGTTATGTCCGATTTCACATATATATACATTTAACAACTTTAAAAAGTCATATAAAATGAAACTCTGTACTTAATCTGGTTTGAATGTGATATGTGTAAAGAAAAAGAATTTACATGACTATAAAGAAGAGAATATTTTATGTTTCACAGAATAATGAAAATATAGTTGGCTGTCAGTCATTTTTTAGAACATGACAGAATGGTAAAGGTAATGAATACAATACTAAGTATAGTGAGTAAGGAATCAAATATGATAGATGTGAATGTGGTTAATTACAATTAATTGCATTGCTTTTGTATGCATTTCGATCAGTAAGGTCCTTTTTGGAAATCCTCACAACTACTTTCTCTTTTATTCAATGAAACATTTAAACTTTCTGAGTATTTTTTTTTTTTAATCAGCATTTGCTATAACAAAGTTTTTTTTTTCTCTTATTACTGAATTTTTCACGTACCTTTGACTAAGCCATCGCATAAAGCCAGGAGTATTCGAACAATAGGTAGGAAACTGCTGCTTTGCATAACAAACTGTACTGGGCGTAGTTTATGCTGTGGAATAATTTTGGAGAGGAATTTTTAAGTCATACTACTTAATAGCTGCTTGTGCATTCATTGACATTTACTGCATAGTAAAACCATATGACAGTACACATTCCTTTTACATTTCCCTCTCTAATTTTGGGGCAGTAAAGAAGAGAAAATGTGACACAAAATTCCACGTACAGTAAGACCCCGCTTAACGCGGGGGATACGTTCCATCAAAGTAGAGCGTAATGCGAAACAGTGCTAAACGAGGCTATCTTTACATGTAAATATTGGGGTTAGGGGAAGATGGCTAGGAAATTGGTTAGGTATTAAATTTAAAAAGTATGTTTTTTTAATAAAAATAAAACCAAACATTTATTTCTTAAAGCCCAAATTAATACCACATTATTATTTCTTGCAAAAATAAAAACAAAATATAAATAACAAAACGAATATTCTTAAAAAAAAAAAAAATAAAATTCTCAAGTCAGTCATATTTAGTTAGCCTTCCGCGTTTTCAGTGTTCTGCCTTTTTGTGACAAAAGCATCTAATGTTGTTTGCCTTTTTCTTTTGCGTTGTTCTCTTAAAAGTTCTTCATAAACGGATAGAGCATCTCTAACACCACGCCTTACTTTTGAGCTCCTGTCAAAATTCGGATCATTTTCAATGAATTGATCCATTATTTCAGTTATGGTAGACAAACTCCTTTTTACAAACGCCATCGAAAGTTCTTTTTGCTCTTCTTCTGAATCACTGCTGTCAACATTTTTGTTTTCTTCTTGTTCAGTTAATTCCTTGAGCTCATCATTAGAAAGACTAGCCGCTGCTTCTTGAATTATTTCTTCGACATCTTCCACATTTACCCCTTCAAAATATGTCTGTACAATACCGCACCAAACAAGAAATACAAGTACACTCTTTCGGATATGTATTTGAAACCTATTGCTGCATAATATTTCGTGGAATCCCCGTATGCTGCGAGCGATTTCGTGGAATCCCCGGGTTGAAATAAAAGAGCGCTAAACCGAAACAGCGCTAAACGAAACAGCTTTAAGCGGGGTCTTACTGTAATCCTGTTCTTTTAATTCACATACAGTTAACTCTACACAATAAAGTTACATATTCTACATATAAAAAAGTTACATACATTCTGTACACTAGAGGTTTGTAATGACAAATAATAAAGTAAATTAATTTATTCATAATTTATTTTTTGAAGCGCACTGCGTTGGAAATAACTGTGGTGATCAAATCTAAAATCTCTAATACAGATTTTGGCATTCTTATAAACTAATACAAATGTAGTTAGTTTTGTTATGAATATATGTTGAAAGATGATTCACATTTTATATCAGTGAATGCTTCAGTTTTCTAAAAATAATTTAAAAATTAATTTTGCTTAACTACTTGAAATTAAATTTTAACAATTTGCTAAAAGTAAACATTTTTAACATATTATTTAAAAAAATCAGTATGAATGCTTGTGCTGATAAAATCTCTTATGTTTATATGAAAATTTACTATAGGTAATTTGTAATATTACTTTTAAAAAGAGTAATATCTCTTCTCGAATTTGCATCTCCAAAAAGTAGTAAGATTTTATTTTGTGTTATGTAGTAGAATCAGGAAAGGAAAATGGGGCTGGAAAGAGATGGAAAAAGAACACAGGTCTAAGTTTGATATTTTTCAGTTGAGCCCTCATCATTGTAAAAATTTGTATATTAACCGTTTGACTGCTAAGCAATTCTTGCAAGAACGCACGAAATCTGCAGGACATATTTTGACTTGATGTTGTCTATTGACTTATATTTTATTATAATTATATTTTGACTTGATGACGGAGCAACAAAGACACACTGAAACTCGCAGCGCGTCGCGGTTTTCGAGACAAATGAACACAGTGCTTTTGCGCCGCGTAGCAGTCAAACAGTATGTAGTAATGTGTGTGTATGCTGAAAAAGCATAGATATCTTGACTACTATTATGTGGTAAGGTTTTGCATGAAATTTAGAAAATCTGGTTGGGGAGTGTTATAGTTATTGAAGGCAGTTATGGGTTATGCTGTTTTATCGCAGCCTAAGATAAAACAGCATTACACTAAATGATAAAAAGTGTTCAAGGATAGGATTGGATTCTGCCAAAGAATGCAGTGACTATCTCTCTAACGGGAGGGATGGCTTAGCATTTTTTAAGTTGTGGATAGAACATAAAACATTGGAAATGAATCTTGCAAGGTTAATCTTTCAGTTTCAAGAACTAAGAACAATGTGGCTTAACCAGATATCAATACTTATAGCTGCATTTGAGAAGATTAGTATGCAGTTATAATAAGCATTGTAAATGTCATTGCATATGAGCAAATTTTTGCCTAAAAATATCACAGTGCTTTCCTATCTACCATACAGCTTGAGTTGGCTGCTGCCAAATTAATGTATAGTAGATGGGAATAAGGTCAAAGTGAGCTTGGGAAATAAAATCATATTTATTCTCCAAGCTTCAGAACCTGCTGCAGGAGAAATCCTTTTGGATAATTAAAAATATGTATTCAGCTGGAACAACATCTAAACGAAGACTTCTTCCATACTAGAATCTATATTTAGTTAAAGATGCCTGTTTTGAAGATGACAAGTTGTAATTCATATATGTTTCAAAAAACATTTTTTTTTGGAGGGGATAAACCATTTCTAGTTAAAACTGCATGAAAGTTTTAGGAAAAATAAATATTTAAACTTAGCAGAAATATTGTTGGCAGAAGAGAACTACTTTGTTCCTTTATAGTTTAAAACATAGCTTAAAGTTTTAAATAATGCAGGCTTTTATGTAGCAAAAATGTAAGTTGAGAAACTTTTGACATATTTGTAGAATATGGAATATTGAAAATAGTAGATTTTCAATATTTTTTTAAAAATTATTTACTGTTGCATATTTGTATATTGTGTTAAGTTAAAATTATGTAAATGGTGTTTGAATTATATCTATTTTGTCTTTTTCAGCTTGGATTTTTCTTCTGTATGACTGTAAAGAAAATGCAAGTGTAAATTTTATTTTTGTACTGAAGAGTTTTTATACCTTCAAAAAGTTTATATCATGAAATTTATGCAATAATTTCGTATAATAATCAAATTGCTTGTAATTAGTGAAACATTTCTTTAAATAGGAAAATAATAATTATGACATTTTTCCAGAAAATCAGATTTATATACACATTTTTGTAAATATGATGTATTATTAAACATTTTATATAACTAAAATATTCATTTGTGAAGTCATTTTCTTAAATTTACTGGTTTCCATTGCAAATATTTTCTTTTCTGCACTGAAAATCATTGATACAGGATACAGGATTCTGGTGCAACAGAGAGCAGTTCAAAAGTGTTAACAACGCTTGCAACTTTTACAGAGGAAAAATTAAATTTTTGAAGAATTTCAGAACCTAGAAACTTATTTATTTGCATAATCTTTGCCAGGGACTTAATAATAATATAATAAAATGGGGGGGGGGAACTAATATTGCTAACTTTTTTTAAGTGTCAATACATTTTGTAAGGGCGAATATTTATTGTTTTAGGTAAGGAATATTCATCTTTATTGTTGGTTTGGGAACATATTAATAAACTGTGGTACAACTTTGTTAATATGTCCGGCTTCTTCATGGTTTGGATAATATCATCTTGCATTTATCAAAATTGCAAGTATTTAATGAAAATTATTGAAAAGTTTAAATTATATATTAGCTGCATTTATTTGTAAAGCCTTTTTGTCGTCATATCTTTCAGCAGTCTTTATGAGAAGGAACATTAGCTCTAAATGTTTGACTGTCTTTATTTCTGACACAGATTTACATAGCAGTTTATGGCCACATAGCACATAGCAGTTTATGACACAGATTTACATAGCATGCAATTCACTAATTTCTTGTTTCAAACTTTGGAGATTCATCAAAAGGGATAAGAGAGAGGGGACTTTTTTTTTTTTTTTTTTTTTTTTTTTTTTTTTATGAAGATGGTGTATGAACTATTTGTAAAGGGAACTAACATTTCATAGAGATTTGAAAGAAAAACACACAAATATAAAAATTAAAACTTAGTATAAAAGCATTTTAATAGTGTTTTGCTCTTAAAGAAGAGGAATTTGTCAGATTGCCTTTGAAATTCACAGTTTTATTCAAAAATATTATTCAATTTATTCAAAATTATTATATTATTATTTAATTTATTCACAATCATTATAAATTCCATACATTCCAAGTCTAAGTTAAGCTGTTTTATTTTGTAAGTTTAGTGACCGTAGACTACTTTATGAGAAGAAATGTTAATTACTAATATTTCTTTTCATGAAGTAGTTTGTCGAATACCATAGAATGGTTAAAAGGTCTTCCAAGTCTGTGGGAGTTACTTAAGTAAAACGTTTTCTGTTTAACTAATTCTGATGCTCAATTAAATAATAATTATTTTTTTAATTTTAATTTGTTTTGCTACTTCTGGTTAAATTAAAAATTTGATTCTATTTCATAGTAACATAGCATTTAAAAATACATGTAGGGAAAAATGAGCTAAATTATCTGCTTTACCAAGAAATTAGATTTTGTGTTTTATTCACTAATTCTTCTTAATATGAAAACTGGCTCTTTCAACAGTAATTTAGAAAGTATTTTTATAGGATGCTTTGAAAAGCAGCTATAAAACATTATTCATATTTAGAAAGGATTAAAGTTTAGAAATCATAGCAATTTCTTTTTACTTTTGTTTCAAGAGAAACTAACATTTAAAAACTGAAATGTTTCGTTCTCAAAAATATAAATATAGCTAAAAGAGGGGAAAAATTAAAGTGATGTTTGACAGTAATGGACATTTTTTGCTCTTATATTTTGCATAAATAAAAAAATTTATAAATTTGTGGAAGAAGATGTCTTTTTTTCTTTATCCCAGTCATTCTGATGGCCAAATGAGCAAAGACTGTTAAAGTTTTTTATAGCCATTGTTATAATTCTTTTCTGAAATTATATGTGAAGGAAGATCCATGGAAGCTTTTTGTGTGTTTTAATGTGTACATTAAAGACAAGGAATTCTTTCTTTTTTTTTTTTTTTTTTTTTTTTTTGGGTAGAGGGAGGAAGGAGAATCAATCAGTCTTTCATTTATATGTTCCGTTTACAAGAAGCCAGAAACCAAATCATCTGCATTACTTATTCCATTATACACAATCGTAACAATTACAACCTACATATGAATACAATAGAACTGTGTTAAGTAAATACATAATGGGAATATTGTATATAATATATAATAATAAAACAGAGAAAAATATATGCAATACAAAGTCCGTAATCCGGACGTCCATTATCCGGAATGATCTATAATCCGGACCTCAAAGCCACAAACTTTTTTTTTTGTATGCTTCACGCATGCGCGTTTAATGCGTGCTTCCGATAGTGGAGAAAGTAACTGAGAGTTTATTGAAAACGAAAAAATTTCGATTGACAAGTTAGTTGGTATTCTCGACACAGCAATTACAGGACTTGAACAGGGGAACTTTGTAACTGAACAAGAAATTACGTCTGTTTATAGAATTAAAGAGAAAGTATTAGCACAAAAAACGAAGCAACTTAAACAACTTACATTAAAAGAAATGTTTAATAAAGTAAACAAATAAATATTAAGCTTTTTTTTTTTTTTTGTAAATTTCGATACCCTTTAGATCATAATTGCTCTTTAATTCATAAATTGCGGTTTCATGTTTTTAATTGTATAATTTCTGCATGCCATTTTACCAGATTAAATTCATGATCTATAATCCGGAATCGCTGAAGTTCCGATGAGTCCGGATTACGGACTTTGTACTGTATAATGTAACATATCTATGTGACATAAAGGATAGTAAACATATCGCATGTAGATAAGATTTATATTAGTGATTATTTCACTTTCTTTTCAGCAGTAATTTTCATGAGTTTTATGATGTTTTAATACAGCAGTTAGTTTATAGACAAATAATAACAACTTTGAATGAACACATCTCTTTTCCTCCAAGTAGGGCAGTCGTACATATAGTGGAGGGTACCTGCTTCAAAAGCAGCCTTCCTGAAACAATAATTAACACTTTTTGTAGGAAAAAGATGATGAGTACAATTTCTGAACCTCTTTTTCAGAATGACTGTTCATAACGTCACCCATGGCCAGCATTTTGGATTTAGTTACATGTTTAGAGGAAGTTAAAAGATTCTGTTGTCCACACTATAATTCCATCTTTACAAACTGATTTTTAATTATTTAAGATTAATTTTTTTACTGAACTTTTTTTTATAACTTTATTATATTTATTCTGCCTTTCTTTTCATTATTATTATTATTATTTTTTTTTGTGTGTGTGTGCTTTGAGTTTTTTTCTTCAATTATTGTTTTACAGGTGTTTATTAGGAAGAGTTTTTGTTTTTAAATATGTAGAATTAATTAGCTGTTGCAGTTTTTACGTCATATAACTTCCACGTAAGAGAAATAAATGATAAGACTTTATAATTCAAGCTTCCCTTTATAAGACGAAAGGTCGCATAAGAAAATATAAAGAAATCAGAATTGAACTTTCTGTACTTATATATTGATTTTCAGAGAATTCATATCTTCCGTTTTTAAAATAATTTTCGGTTGTTGATTGACAAAGCCAACAGAAAAAAGTACGGTAACCTGACTTCAATGAACTCATCTGGATGACGTGGAGTATCTACTGCTAGTCGCAGGAAGAGATGGTAACGTACAGTTACTATTACTCTCTTCCACCTCCTTTTTCCGTCCTCACGGATCATCAGATTGTTATGAGTCAAGCAAAGTCAAGCGCCGTTAAAGGCAGCACTTCAGTTGGAGCTGGTAACATCGCGCTTTGCGCGCTAAACCAGCGATAATTCATTATTGATTGATTGGTGAGGAATTTTTGCACTTACTTTTTCGAGTGTTGGGAAAGGCTGCTGATCTAAGAGAATTTGATAGAGGGCAGATTATAATGGTCCGAAGACTCGGAACGAGTTATCTCCGAAGCTGCACAACTGGCACAGGTTGATCACGATCTGTCGTTGTTAGTTCTGCCGTTGTTAAAGTGGATGGCGATGTAGTTGTAGTTGCCATGGTGTTGGACGTCCACGCGTCATCAAAGAAAAGGACGTTGGAGACTGCCCTCTTGATATAGGCAAATCGGCTCCAAATAATGGCTCCGCTGACAGCCCAATACAATGCAGGTCCAAGTACAAGTGTTTCGGAACACACGGTTTAGCGGACACTGTTGAATATATAACTGCACAGCAGACATCCCACTCGTATGCCTCTGTTGAACAAGCGCTGTTGTCAACTATGCTTACAGTGGGCTTGGGAACATCGAGAGAGGACTGTGGATAAATGGAAGATAGTTGCCTGGTCAGATAAATCACGATTTCTCATTCAATACGTCGATGATTCATTAGGTGTATGTGTCAGGGTACGCCGTTTTCAAGCGAATAGTTACTCCCCCTTTGTACAGCAAGCAGGTTATACACAAGCTGGTGGTGGCGGTATTATGTTTGAGGGACGTTCTCATGGGTGGCTCTGGGACCCTTAGTTGCGATAGAACAGACTATGAAATCTGCGGACTATCTGAACATAACTGCGGGTGTTGCATTTTTAAATGGCTTCTGTCTTCCCAAGTGGAAATGGAATCTTCCAGCAGGAGAACCTCTATGTCACAAGGCTCGACTTGTTTTGGAGTGGTTTGAGGAGCATAAGAATGAATTCCAATTAATGTTCTGGCCGCGTAACTCTTAACTCGCCAGATCTTAACCCGATAGAACACATTTGGCAGCTGTGACCTCAAACACCACCATGTCAGAATATCTCGACTTTGCGTGACTTAGACATTTGGTACAGCCTGTCTCCAGTCATCTACCAAGAATTTGTGGCATTGATGCCAAGGCGATTTGCAGCTGTTTGCAGGCGAAAGGTCGCGCAGCGCGTTATTGAGTAGGTGGTCTTAATGTTTTAGCCCTTCATTGTATCGTTGTTCAGTAAAATCTCTTTTAACCGTCACACAATTAAGCGGCGATATCAAAATAACGTTATTCAATTCATATATCAAATCAAAATAACTTTTGAACATCGGAATTTGAATCCGGAATTCAGGTATACGAGATAAAAAAATATATATGTAATGGACTAAATTTAAATGTGGAAAGCATTTATATTATGTTTCTGCCGCCCAGTGTAATTCACCTATCTAACCAATGCCCCAAA